TAAGCTAGCTTGAATTATTGAGATTAAACTTTTGAGATTAGCTTTGCTTGAGCCTAATCGGCGAGGGCTCTGCTAATCTTCTTATAGGTAACAATATTATAACATAACATAGGATAAACAAAGGAAGATTACTTCACTTTTCACTTGAGAAGTTCACTTTGATAACATTTAATCTTAATTTACATAACATCACTAATAATAAACAAAAATCTGAAAGATTATGCATTGACTTTAGGATCACTCTAAAACCAACAATGTAACAAACAATGTGGTCCATTGTGCTGGAACTTCAATATTCAATTTTTTGCACTACCTAATCATAGAAGATACACTCTATATAACCTCCAATGTTTTAGACTCCAATCATCATTCTCATTCTCATATTACATTCTCTTAAGCTTCTTAGTTCGACAAATATGGCAACTTCCCACAGTTTGCTCATCATTGCTCTTTTTAGCATCGCTTGCTCAATGCTTTCGTACAATGTCTCCGCTGCTACTTCTACTAGCATCACCAGACACTACAAATTCGATGTACATGAAATATTCACATATTAAGTTTCCTCCGAAATTCAACATAGTTTTGAACTTATATATCATACATGCAGGCTGCAGCATTATCTAATGCTAATCAATTTTATTGCAAAATTTTGTTTGTAGATTAAGATGCAAAATGTGACAAGATTATGCCACACTAAGAGCATTGTGACAGTGAACGGGCAGTTTCCAGGGCCTCGTATTGTTGCTAGAGAGGGTGATCGACTTGTTATCAAAGTTGTCAACCATGTCAAGAACAATATTACACTCCATTGGTAATTTAAGCTCCATCTTCAAGTTTCATTAATTTTTTTTTGCTAATGACTTCAAACAATGTCATACTGATTTATGCGACTATGAGCAGGCATGGGATTAGGCAGATCCAAAGTGGATGGGCAGATGGACCGGCTTACATAACACAGTGCCCCATACAAACTGGACAGACATATGTATACAACTTCACCGTCGTTGGACAAAGAGGAACACTTTGGTGGCATGCACACATTTCTTGGCTAAGATCAACCCTTTACGGACCTATAATTATTCTACCTAAGCGCGGTGTTCCATACCCATTTCCCGAGCCCTATAAGGAAGTTCCCCTTATCTTTGGTAATGCTTCCACCTCTATTGTATACTACACTTCAGTTTCAAACATTACTAAGAATACTAAAATTAAACATATTGTGAAATTTATCAATCGTATGTTGGCTTGCAGGAGAATGGTGGAATGCAGACACTGAGGCAGTCATTAACCAAGCAACGAAAACAGGAGGCGGTCCAAATGTATCAGATGCCTACACCATCAACGGCCTTCCTGGACTATTATACAACTGTTCAGCTAAAGGTATATGCAAGAAGATATATAATTATCTCACTGAATATACAAACTGTGACTAATCACAAAAGTCTATGTGCAGACACCTTCAAATTGAGCGTAAAACCTGGAAAAACTTATCTCCTAAGGCTTATTAATGCTGCGCTCAATGACGATCTTTTCTTTAGCATTGCCAATCACACTCTCACAACAGTGGATGTCGATGCTGTCTATGTTAAGCCCTTTGAGACCGATACAATCATTATAACTCCCGGTCAAACTACCAATGTCCTCCTCAAGACAAAGCCTAGTTACCCTGGTGCTACCTACCTCATGATGGCTCGGCCTTATGCTACAGGAAGCGGTACCTTTGACAACTCTACTGTTGCCGGTATGCTTGAATACCAACACCCAAAACCGTCGATTTCAATCAAGAAGCTTCCTCTCTTCAAGCCCACTCTTCCAGATCTCAATGACAGTTCTTTTGTAGCCAACTTCACCAACAAACTTAGAAGCCTAGCAAATGTCAAATATCCGGCCAATGTACCAAAGAATGTTGACAGACACTTCTTCTTCACAGTGGGGTTAGGAACCAATCCGTGTCCCAAAAACCATACTTGTCAAGGCCCAACCAATACCACCATGTTCGCGGCTTCTATTAACAATGTCTCCTTTGTCATGCCTACAAAAGCCCTTCTGCAATCACACTTCCAACGTCAATCAAACGGGGTTTTCACTGCCAATCTTCCCACCTCACCGCTAATCCCCTTCAACTACACCGGTACACCACCTAACAACACAAATGTAATAGACGGAACTAAGGTGGTATCGATTCCATTCAACACCAGCGTGGAACTGGTGATGCAAGGCACAAGTATTCTAGGGGCAGAGAGCCACCCACTTCACCTTCATGGGTTTAACTTCTTTGTTGTCGGACAAGGCTTCGGAAACTTTGATTCCAAACAAGACCCTGCTAAATACAACCTTGTTGATCCTGTTGAGAGGAACACAGTTGGTGTGCCTGCAGGAGGGTGGGTCGCCATTCGCTTCCTTGCAGACAATCCAGGTATGATTATTAAGATTGATAAATCCATTTTTGAGATTGTATAAAATAATTTGCTTAATTAGTAAAGGTAACCAAGATTATATATAAACATTTTTTTTTTATTATTATTTTGGATGCATTTTTTATAGGAGTATGGTTCATGCACTGCCATTTGGAAGTTCATACAAGTTGGGGCTTGAAGATGGCTTGGGTAGTCGAAGACGGAAAACTGCCTAATCAGAAGCTGCCACCACCCCCAGCCGATTATCCTAAGTGTTGAAAATACTTCACTGATAAAATTTTCTGCACTAACAGAGATTGATTATAAGTTTTTCCTAGGAAATCTTTTGTTATTTTCGCAAATATCTGTTACATAAATTTCATACTATGTCACAATCTTCCTTAGCTTGTCAACAAGGAAGATCGGCCTGATAGATGTAGCAGGATTTAATTGGATTTTTTTCTACTTTAAAATTGTATCTTGATCTTATGAAAGTCTTTGTTTGACAACCAAGTGTAAGGAAAACTTCTTGAATGTATTTCATACTTTGCTTACAACAACAAACTTCAAGTATGAAATAATATCGAGTATTTTTCACTCAGTTTACAGTTATCTTTCTAATAGGTTTCGATCAATAACAACATCACTTATTATCGTATCTAACACCCTCTAATAAAGTTAAAGGAGCCAAAACACTTCATAATCCAACAGCTATATTATGATGAAGACTTCGACACTTCGTTTCACACCTAGCTTAAAACCTTATGAAGGAAGTTGATCCTAGACATTTATGAATGATAGGTGCAGTATAATGCTTACAAAAAATATGCAGAAACATTGTGGTTTTTACTTTTTAGGTGTGACTGAGCAATATAGAGATCAAACTCAAGGTAAAATTTTCCTTACCATGCTCATTGCTCATACAATCAAAGCACTTAAATTTTAAAATGATAGAGAATTGAACGACATAATATTATATTTTAACAGAATTATAATATGGTACAATGCCAATATATCAGCATCAACATTCTCTTCCTTTGAAAGTCTACAGAAAATTAATATATATAGTCGGTCAAAATTTTCTTAATTATGAATGCCAATATCAGCCACGCTCTAATAAAAAAATAATAATAAAAAAAAAATTAAATCAGAGACCATTTTAGACTTGAATTATAAAAACCCTTATTCAGTAATTTGATCATGTAGCACGTTATTATAATTAGACTGTAGTTATGCAACATACTCCATTTTTCTAAATAAAAAAAAAAATACTCCATGTAAGAGAATTAATATGGAGCCCTTTGTTTTTGCACTTTCTATTTAGAAATATAGATTTTAGAATTTACAGATCTTTATCATCCAGTGCTAATGTTTACAGTACAAGATTTTTGTGCTTTTAGATATGGAAGTCGGAAGACATAAAAATGTGGCTAAGTTACCCAAAAAATAAAAACACCCAACTTCTATGTCACAGTCAATCCCCAACAAATCAATAGGGATCTTTAAGGCCGGCCGGCCAAGTGCCCATATGTTCTGATGACTCGACTCATGTTGCTTTTGGTGGTAGCTTTTCTTAAACCCTCACTGCAATGTCTTTCCTCTCTTCACATTGCTGTAACCCGATCCTACTCTATCAATTGTGTCCTTCAGCCAACGTAACCATTTAATTACGATGCCTAGTTGCCCTAGCAGCCGGAGTTGTTCTGCCTACCTCTCTCCCTCTCTCTCATAAGCTTTCTACGGCTCTATCTATCCGTTTCCTTTCTCATTCCCAGAGCCTTAACCCCTTCCTTTTACATCCAACCTTTTTTTTTTATGTTGTTGGGGGGGGGGGGGGGCATGTTTAGTCAAAGTGGTGTTTTTGTGGACATTGGTGGTGGTGGCTGTGACAAGGATTAGAATTAGCACAGCCACACAGAAATAAAATGAGGAATAGGGCTGCGAAGCAGTGGTCTGGACAGAGTGTACGTAGGTGGTCCTAGGGATGGTAGTGGAAGGAGAGGGGAGGGGGTTAAGATTTTTTTTTTTTTTTTTTTTTTTTAAATGATGGGAACATAATAATATGATAAGATTGCCGTGTAGAATTTCCCTTAAAAATGTGATGTGACGAGGGACTATGATTGATCAACTCGGTCTCAACATTAATTCAATATGTAAATTAAGATCCATATCTCCACATCTCCACATCACTCCTATGAAACAAAATTAAAAGTCTATTGTCTTAATAGGCAATGTATTCTATACTTTTTGCCCTCAAATTTTTAAACTTATCCTGGTTTATAAAAGGCCTTGCTCAGGAAGTATTAGTATTTTGTAATGCACTCTTTTGTGGAGATTGACCGTGCAACTGTGTATGCATACGTTTACAAGGAAGACCTTTGAACAGGAGTACCCTTCAAGTGAAGCTTTTTAGGGTACATTCAAATACAGCTACTATTTGCTTCTATTGTCAACTCATTTTACACCATATTTCCACTAACCATTTACTAACTCACTGCTACTAACCACACTGTTAAGTAATGACGTGACTACATTATCATGAATTTAAACTAATACAATAATCATTTTAATATTACCAGCTAAACTTGTAGAAGAAGAGTAGGCTTGGTGTCATTTTCTTTCTTAAACAAGTCTCAAGACAAATTATGAAATAGTAATTTCAGAGAGTGAGGGGGATAGCTCAAGTGGTTAGAGCTTTCCTCCCCGATTTCAAGAGATATTGGGATTGATTCTCACCCTGCCCTTATGGCGCTCTAAACACTAAAATAAAAAATTAAATGCTACCTCCAATTTTTTTTAGTTACAACTTTGGGGTACTATTTAGTAGTAATTTCAAACTGGGAAAAATCAATCTATTAATTGGAATATTTGGAAATGGGCTACATTATATTTTGACAGCTACTAATAGGTTAAACTAATTTACCTATTAAATCATTAATTTTGAGAACCATTTGCAGCATATTACTCTTTATCCCTCTGCAGCTCTGCTAGGGCTTCCTTCATTAAGCAAATGGAACTGCATCAGAGCGCCTACAAAAGTGTTCAGTAGACAATAATTAGCCTACGACTACCCAAACTTGCCAGATTATCAATATACAAAATAGTCTTAAACAATAAACAGAATTCAAATGTTGGGATGAACAACAATTACGAGCACAGACTTTGCTAACCTCTAATATCTGAAGGCAAAATTAACCAGGGTTTTGCTAAACCAATAATAAAGCTGAGATGAAATAAGGAAATAACCTATGTGCATAAATGTCCCTAGTTTTGTTGTAGTAGTACATTCAGAACCAAGACATAATTGTCACTTAATTTAACATTACAAACATTAACCCTAGATTTTAAAGAGTAACAATAGACTTCAAAATCACTCTAAAACCAACAATGTAACAACCAAATTGGTCACAATGCTGAAAATTTCAATATCCAATTTTCCTACCTAATCATCTGAGATGTACCCTATATAAGCTCATCTCTTAAAAGTTCCATCATCATTCTTAATTTGGTAGTATCACTCACAAATACAATCTCTTAGCTACTAAGTTTGCCAAAAATGGCAATTTTCAACAGATTGCTTATTGCCCTTTTTAGCATTTCCTGCTACATGCTTTCCAACAATGTCGCCAATGCAGCTTACACAGGCATCACTAGGCACTACACGTTCAATGTACATGAATAAACTTTATAAAGTCGCCTTGAAAATTCAATTCATAAACAGTTTAGACATTATACTTATTTTACTAACTATTCTCATTTTCATTATTATGTACATTGTAGATAAAGTTGAAAAATGTGACAAGATTATGCCACACCAAGAGCATTGTCACAGTAAATGGGCAGTTTCCAGGGCCTCGTATCGTTGCTCGAGAGGGTGATCGACTCAATATTAAAGTTGTCAACCATGTCCAAAACAATATTACCATCCATTGGTATCCTTTCGTCAACAAGTTTTATATAATTATTTGAAATGACATCAAAACAATTTCAAACTGATGTGCGAATGTGTACACAGGCATGGGATCAGGCAGCTCCGAAGTGGATGGGCAGATGGACCAGCATATATAACACAATGCCCCATACAAACAGGACAGACTTATGTATACCATTTCACCATTGTTGGTCAGAGGGGCACACTATGGTGGCATGCCCACATTTCTTGGCTAAGATCAACCCTTTACGGACCAATCATTATTCTCCCTAAGCGTGGCGTTCCATACCCATTTCCCCAACCCTATAAGGAAGTTCCTCTTATCTTCGGTAATGCTTCCATCTCTACTGTAAGCTATATTTCAATATCAAACATTCTATAGAATGACTAAAAACAAATCATTGTGTTAAATTAATCAAATTTTATGTGGGCTTGCAGGAGAATGGTGGAATGCAGACACTGAGGCAGTCATTAACCAAGCAACAAAAACAGGAGGCGGTCCAAATGTATCAGATGCCTACACCATCAATGGGCTTCCTGGACTATTATACAACTGCTCAGCTAAAGGTATATGCAAGCAAAATTTAACATTGTCTTGACTTATTCTACTGTATATATAAACTGTGACTGATCACAAAAGTTTATTTGCAGAAACCTTCAAATTGGGTGTAAAACCTGGCAAAACTTATCTCCTAAGGCTGGTTAATGCTGCACTCAATGAAGATCTCTTCTTTAGCATTGCCAATCACACTCTCACAACAGTGGATGTCGATGCTGTCTATGTTAAGCCCTTTGAATCGGATACAGTTATCATAACTCCTGGGCAAACTACCAATGTCCTCCTCAAGACAAAGCCTCATTACCCTGGCGCTACCTTCCTTATGATGGCTCGGCCTTATGTTACAGGAAGCGGCACCTTTGACAACTCTACTGTTGCTGGAATCCTTGAATACCACCAACCAAAGCCATCAACCTCAATCAAAAAACTTCCTCTCTTCAAGCCCACCCTTCCAGCCCTTAATGACACTTCTTTTGTAGCCAACTTCACCAACAAACTTAGAAGCCTAGCAAATGTCAAATATCCGGCCAATGTACCAAAGAATGTCGACAAACACTTCTTCTTCACAGTGGGGTTAGGAACCAATCCATGTCCCAAAAACCACACATGTCAAGGCCCAACTAATACCACCATGTTTGCAGCTGCTATTAACAATGTCTCTTTTGTCATGCCTACAAAAGCTCTCCTGCAATCACACTTCCTCCGACAATCAAATGGGGTTTTCACAACTAATCTTCCCACCGCACCACTAATCCCCTTCAACTACACTGGTAAACCACCTAATAACACGAATGTAATAGACGGGACAAAGGTGGTGTCGGTTCCATTCAACACCAGTGTTGAGCTGGTTCTGCAAGGCACCAGCGTTCTTGAGGCAGAGAGCCACCCACTTCACCTTCATGGGTATAACTTCTTTGTAGTTGGACAAGGCTTTGGAAACTTTGATCCTAAAAAAGACCCAGCGAAGTACAACCTTGTTGACCCCGTAGAGAGAAACACTGTTGGAGTGCCTGCAGGAGGGTGGGTTGCCATTCGTTTCCTTGCAGACAATCCAGGTATGCTACATCCACTTTTGGGATCATTATTAAAAATAGTCTCTACAAGAATTTTGAAGGTAACTAAAACTAATAATAATTTTTGTGATTTGCCTAATCTATAGGAGTATGGTTCATGCATTGCCATTTGGAAGTTCACACAAGCTGGGGCTTGAAGATGGCCTGGGTAGTTGAAGATGGAAAGCTGCCAAACCAGAAGCTGCCACCACCCCCATCTGATCTCCCGAAATGCTAAGTGCTTCACCAGGAATATTATCTACAACTCCTGAGAATGGTTTCTCATCCCCCTCTTCCAAACAACCCCACTCCAAGTTTCTGCTAAATCTATTACACTGCCACTCATTTTCTACTTTGTCAAACCCTAAACAGGATAGAGTGGACAGTTAGCTGTAGAAAGTTTTCTTATCAATTTTTCCCATTCTGCATTGTTTTTTCATTTAATTTTCCTAGTTTAATAATCATGTAAAGGACAAGATACACAATGAAATTCATAATTTTTTTGCGAGACGCAAACATCCAATTTCATTAAAGAAAAAGATGTCTATTAAATTATCTCACACTGAATTTGTATACTTGCTAACAGAAAATGGTCTTACTGGAGCATTCATATGCCTCCTATTATTATAGTAAATTGACACGGAAAGGCAGAGATATGTTCTACTTTCTACATGTCTGAAGGATGGCTAATGAAAGGCCAGAAACAGTACCTATTTTCCTTTGCCCTTTCCCTTCCCCTGGCCTTTCTTCGCCTCCATCTTGGCCTGGATACGAGCAGCAGCAGCTGCTTTAGCTTCCTCTCGCTTCTTCTTCTCTTCTTCTTTCATTGCAGCTGCCATCTCTCTCTGCTTTTTCAACTCCCTATTTTGTGATTATACAACAGCAAGTAATGAACAATAATACACTGGCTAAAAGACTAATTGTGAATAGAAATAAGCAACTTACTCAAGCCTAGCCCTCTCATCTGCAGCACCACCAACACTCATACCCTTGCGTGGTCGACAGGCTACCAACTCCACCTCAAATATTAAGGTTGCACTACATAATACAAGATCAAGTCGATAAAATTAACAAAAGGAGACAACAATTAAGAATTTCAGAAGACAAATTTCTGATCCCCCAAACACACAACCCCCACCCCCACCAATTTTTTTTCAAAAAACATTATGAACGTTGATTAAAACCAAATCAAAAGGTTTTGACAGGTATCAGTGAAGTCGAAAAGGCAGTGAGCAGTGACATACCCTGGAGGAATATCTGGAGGTGAACCTGCACTTCCATATGCATACTCGGGCTTGCAAGTAATCTTAGCTATTTCACCAACCTGTTATAAAACCGATTGTCAAATTACAACTAGATCTAGATGATACGCATAATTCTGTGACAGAGCTTATGAATAAGCAAATCAGTGACATTCACCTTCATAGTTTTGACTGCAATATCCCATGCTTTGATCACTGTGCCCTGTCCTATCTCAAATGAAAAGATTGTATTGTCTTCGTGTGTACTATCAAAGACTTCCTCTGTTTCAGCCAGAATGCCTTCATAACGAACTGCCACACCCAAAATTGTCTAAGTAACAGCTATAGAATTTCATTGCTGTAACAACCTTTTACAAAGAACAGACAGCATACGAGGAAAATTCTTCATTTCCATTACCCTCTTGATACAGATTTCCCTTCCTTCAATTTGTTCAAGTCGAAATTACAAGTATAACACAGTTCTATACTTAATACTAAAAGTTTGAGTAACCCATATCAAGCTTCTCTATATCAGAAAAAGATACAAACAAGAGGCTCTTAATACAAGTAAGAAAAGAAAAACCAACAGATATCCTTCCTAAAAGACAGTGAAAAAAAAGAGCAATGAATCAACCACCTCAAGGTTGAAGAAAGAACGGTGTATATGTTGACTATCCAAAAAAAAAGAGTCACTCAAATCTTAAACTCAAATCTTCCATAATAATGATGTACAATTATTATCGGGTAAATACAAGTTAATCTCTGAGATTTACAAAATTTGTTTATCACATGGCAATTTTGTAAATAAATCAACAACTTTTTCCATAAAAGTGGGTCCTACAGTGATGATGACGACTGGATAATTGATTTATTTACCAAAATGTCATGTGATAAACAAATTTTGTTTATTTCAGAGATTAACTGGGGCTTCCTCATTATTATCAAGCTATTGCTGAGTTTGTTAAACAAACAAATGTATGAGTGTCCCATAATAGTGATGTGCATTTATTATCAAGCTACCACAACAGATTCATGAGTCATTGTTCTCTTCTATCTTCTCAGGGTATTTCTTGTAATGTGGTATATACTACCATAGCGGGAAAAAAGCAAAAGAAATACTTTCTCTGTTCTTTTTAACTTGACCTGTTTCTTTTATCACGCTTTCCAATGCAAAACTTTAACGATCAATAACTTAAATTCTCCATAAGTAAAAATTATAAAAGTTATATATTATAATAGTACTTATTGAGACGAATCCAAAAAGATCATACATGAATATATTTTTCCTTACATATTATTCACAAAAGATGGTCAAAGGAGGGGTGGTAAATAGTGTAAAAGTCAAAACAGGTCAAGTAATAAAGAACGGAGGAAGTATGAGATAACTACCATAATATCTAGTTTTGTGTGCGTTTGTGTCTATCCCACATAACAACACTATTAATTCAGTGACAGGCTAACAGCAGCCAAGTCAGAAACAAAAGATTATCTTATTCAAGAATCGATTTACGAGTCTCTCCACAATCTGTCCGAACAACTTACATCATTAAATTTTTAAATCCCTGATAATCTTCTATGGCTCAAAAAACAATTCGCCACTACAGCTCTACAAGCTGCAAAAATCATTAATCTCTAGTTGTCTTCTATATTTCATAAAATGTTTTGCAAGAACAGGCTGATCATCTCTACTTCTATAGTTATCTTCTATAGCTCGTAAAAATTTTCGCCACTACAACTCTACAAGCTATGAAATCATTAATCTCTAGTTATCTTCTATATCTCACAAAATGTCATGCCACCACAGGCTGCAGTAACAACTCAAATCATAACTAGTTATCTTCTATAAACTCGTAAAATGTTTCGCCATGACAATGCCGCTCTAAGGAATATAAGGACACAAACACAATAAAAAAAGACATCATAAGTACAGATTAATGATAAGTAATCTCAGTGAATATACCATCTACAAGAGGAAGTTCATCAGTTGGACCAACAGCATTATCCTTAGGCCGCCTTACAAAAGTCTTCAAAACACCACCATCACCAGTTAAATCAATTACATCCCCCATACTTTCGATTGTTTCAAACACCTGATGAACCAAACAGTAATCACAAAATTACTAATTCTTAATTAGTAATGTAAATACATAAAAATGCACTTATATAATTCAAAACATACTCATAAATATCCAAACTTGTTAATTTCCAATCAATCAACACCAAAAATACTCAAATTCATCTCAATTCGACATACGAAAAAAACTAAAATTCAACAATAATCGAACATAAATAAGCCAAATTTAGATAAAAAAAAAAATCGCAATTTCACAAAAATTAGGTTAAAACAAATTAAAATTGACGCCATTTTTTCACAGAATTGAGTATCAGAGGAGAGAGAAAGAGAGCTAACCGATATAATAGTGAGGAGGGCGACAGAAAGAGACGGCGGAGTTATCGGCGGCGACGGCGGCGGAGAAAATTAGGAGAGAGAAACTATATAAACCGAGAAATTTGAAGGCCATAGCAGTAGAAAGAGCACGATTTATGTGAGAATTGTGGAATACTCTAATTTTTAAAAGAGGGGAATAACATTTTTTTTATAAAGAACTTTATCTTATCTCATCATCTTTTTTTGTAAAAAAATCTCTCATCATATTTTTTAAAAGTCAAAAAAGTCAATTTTTTCAATTTTTTTTTTTTTTAAAAAAGGAGGTGAAGATTTATTTTAATTTTTTGTTAGGAAAGAAAGAAAAAGAGGGGTGAAGATTTAATTATTTTGTGAAAATCATTAAAAAGGAGGGGAAAATATGGAATCTTTAGTTGGAAAATGGGCTATTTATTGAGTCAAATGTGTAGTAGTGACATTACACGAAAGGTTTAATATGCCCCCAATCAGTTAAGTTCATATGTCATCAATCATTACTTTATCATCCTCCATTTATATGAGTGTCTTTCATAACTTTAAATAATTAGCATCCTTCAAATCATACAATAATTATAATTATAATCATATTTAGGGTTTGTTCTCTTACGTTGAAATTCAGTTTAGTTCAGCTCAGCTTAGTTCAACTCCTAATTTCCTTCTCTTATAAAATATTCATTTCAGTTCAATTCAGTTCAGTTCAACTCAACTCAGTTCAGTTCAATTCAATTCAATTCAGCTCAGTTCAGTTTAGTTCAGCCGAGTTTAGTCAATGAGAACATGCCCTTAGTTGATTAAAATGAAAGTATTTGTATAAGTTTTACTTCGTATATATATATATATATATATATATATATATATATATATATATATATATATATATATATATATATATATATATATATATATATATATATATATAATGAGGAAATCAATTGGAATTTAGGATGATTTCATCTAAGTTTGGTTATCCAATACTTGATCATGTATTATTAAAGGGAGGAAGGAAGGAAAGGAAGAGGAAGCAACTCACCAACTTTACAAAGAATTAGGTGTGATGATGGTGCAATTTGCGACAAGAATTGGGATTTAATGTAGTGGGCTTATTTACAAGGAGTACGTATAGTAGATATTTTCATCATGATTTTACAAGTGGTATAGGCTAATGAAAAATATGAATCGAGTTAAAGTAACTCAGTCGATGATCCTCAATGCAAGCAGTCTAGTGCAAAACAGACATCTTTGTACATGTTTTTTTTTTTTTTTTTTTTTTTTTTTTTGGATTGTGAGCAGCTAAAGAGGTATGGAGAAATGTAGATGGACTAGCTAGGGACATTTACTTCATCAAGTTGGGGACTCTACAACAATGTCAAGCCATCAAGATAACCAACTAGACACCCATACCAAATTTGACTTGTGCATATTTTAAAGTTTTAGAAAATTAAGCATAGTCATCCAAATTAAAGAAAAATTCACAATTCATTTTGACTTCTTATGGATTTCCATAATCTAAGAAGTCACAATTTGATTAAGGTTTATAAAAGAAGTCACAATTCCATAATCTACAACACAAAATCGAATTGTGACTTTTATAAGCAATATGGAATTGTAAATTTGTGACTTCTAAACTAGGGACATTAGAATAGCCATTCAAAAACAAACTGTGACTAATTTCGTAGACGCATCCAATTATAATGTTTTAGAAAATTAAGCCCAACTCTTTAATTTTAGACATTTTCACCTTCATTTAAAAATTTGATTTGGTAGTTAAAATGTTAATCTTTTTACTCCTAGCTCCAAAGAAAATTAAGTTAATCAAATTTAAAATTCAATCAATTTGGATTCACTCATAGTTCGTAGATGCAAAGTTCGTCTATGATAATTTTGTAAAAATTTATAAAGATTTGAAACAGAATTTTTAAAAAATAAAATTATAAAGTGAGTACTCCGTATCATAATAACTTTGCATTGTAAATATATAACCTCATGTACGTACTTATTAACAACTTGTGCAACTTATTCAAGTATACATGAAAGCATGCCTTCTCAACTAATATGATGATAATTTAGATGTGGTTTCTTTCTCATTTAAATTATTCTCATACCAATTGAAAAGCGCAAACTCTCGTATGCACCTAACAGTTCTCACCAACAAATCTTCTTATTGAAAGAAGCTGCTAAGTACAGATACAAAATAACAGAAAAAGGGTAACCGTTGATTTAAGACTACAAAAAATTGAGGGAATAATAACACTACAGCTCTTCAATCATCCCTATTACCTAGCCTTAGCTACAGTTTGGTGTGTGAAATTTGGCAAAATTCTTACAAAAAGTGTAATGTCCTATAAGGTACTCATAACAGCTAAAAGGACCTGAGAGGCCAAAGGCAAAACTACTCATTCGCTACTTCGTTTTCTTCACTCCCGGATGAATTCGGCCTCCTAACAAATCGCCCCTGCAACATGACATGAATCCTGATTTAAGTAAGAGATATAATTATGGAGAGAAATGCAAGATATCAACGGTTAACCTAGAATGATCACAGCATACACTGCATACAGATGCAAAACATGTAACCTAAGGAAACTCGGTCACATGAACAAATGGACTGTCTGATTAAAAGAGAAAATTAGTGAAAAAGTGCAGGAAGATTTGTATTGCATTTTCAAGAAGTAGAAAATCTTCGCAGTTGCAGGAAAGAACAGTTATATTACAAAGAATTGACTGAAACTTTCTAAGAATTGTGAATAGAACATGAACATCAAATAATCAATCAGCAAAAGCTACAAGTACAACTTCAGTACAAGTCGCACGCACGACCATAGGTCTCAAACAACATACTCCCTCTGTCCTTGTAAAAAAAAGTGACAACTATTTAAAATCATTCAAAATAATTGCCTCCTTACAAGATTACAAACCAAATTTGGGCTTTATAAATTATCATATGCCTTCATCAGTATCCTTAAACAGGAGAGCATAAAGCAAAAGGCTTTGAAATTGCAAACATATTAATAATGAAGCAGAATTATGGGCTTATGGCATACTGTTTGAAGGATGGATGGAGCACATTACATATAAGTTCAGAAAAACTAACCAAAACAAGCACAAACACATCTAAACAAACATATTTCTCTTATTTACATCCACGTAAGGTAGAAGAGCCAAAAAAGGCACAAAGCACCATGAACAAATGCACACCCACATATATATAACTTTGACATGACTGAGATTGAGCACTGACCGAATTGGCATAGTTGCATACCTTCATTCTTGGTCGTTGATCGGCATTAACTTTTCTAACTTGATATCTAATCTTCTTTGAGAAGAAACGTGTTCGCCTTTTCTCCTTATACCGCTGAACACTTGCTTCTCTCAAGGCTCCAGGCTCACCGAATAGATCTATTTGCGCCAATCTTGCTTGCTATAAAAACAGTTCAATCCTTTAGTTTCTATTGTTTTATTAATTATTCCATCATAAGTGAATACAAGCATGCAAAACGCTTCTATCTAGAAGATTAACTGTGTTAGACAAAAATGTTAGCAAAAAAAGCATCTATGCAAACCCTAATTTAGAGGCCTGCACTGATTAAATAAATATTTAAGTAAAAACGGAATAATATAATATGTATTATAATACATAAAACAAATATTCTTCATTTTGTCTCACTTGATTAAATTAATCATTTGCAGCTGAGGTATTGCCCAAAGAAGAAACATCAAAACTGGAAGTCTGGAAAACTCCAAAACCGGAACTTTTTAATTAGGAAAGAAAAGTTTGGTGACCGTTTAATCCAAACGTCAAGTATCATTAGGCGCCAAACACTGTCCAACTAATTTTCTCAATCCATACAAGAGAGCGTCTATTTCCCCTTCGCTATAGTCTATATGCCCTCATAATATTAGTCAGTCTAAAAAGAGCAGGAATAGAGTTTTTTGGACTCTGAATAAACACTTCATTCATAAATCTCTAATTGAACAATAGTTCTATATATGAGCAATGAAACCTTGAAGAACTTAAATGAAACAGAGGTAAATCTAGAACATACCAAGGCATCACTTCCAGAAAGCTCGGAGCCCACAATGTCATCGGAGAAAGGCGAGCCTCGATTTGACCAGGCATCCAAAACCTCATCATAATTCAATTTCAAGAGCACCCCAGGGCTGGATTTAGAATTTGGAGTTGAATTTTCCTTGCCTGATGATGTTGAACTGGATTTAGGACTTGAAGACGAATTTTCCTTGCTCAAGCCTGAACTGGATTTGGGAACCGACACTGAATTTTCTTTCTTTAAGGTTGAAGGAGAGGATTTAGTGTTCACTTTTTCCAATTTTTTCTTCTTTTCAGCTGGCAAAGGCTTGCTTAACCTTGGTGAAATTTCACCAACATCAACAGCAGGAAATCTCCACCAGTCTCCTTCGTCTTTTTGTCTAAATGCCTTGGCCACTCCACCTCTCATCAATCCGAATCCGAAATCAAATCTCCCACCTAATCCTAATCCTAATCCTAATCCTAACCCCACTGGATACCCATAACAGAAACTAACCGGGCCAACACTAGCATCATTGGAGCAAGCAGTGGATTCCCCTTCAACACACACATTCACATCCCCCATTATGCTGTCTATGGCACCCTCCCCGATCTCTTCATCAAGGATTGATTCCGCATCGAAATCCTCGTATCCATCACATAAATCAGAGGAATTCGTTTGGCAACCAATTTCATCCATGTCATATGAGCATGACTTACCATAGGCAGTTGAATCTAGCTGAAAAACTGGTTTCTCAACTGGGAATTGTAGGAGCAATTCACCAGAGGGTTCTTCACAGGAAAAGGAAGAATACTCACGAGGTTTGATGAATTTGCCAGGCTTACACATATCCTTGGCAGGGAAAATATTTGGATATGCTGTGGAAAGCAGAGCAGCTGCCTCATTGTAGGTCTGATTTGGGCGTTTCCGAGGAGTCCGTGGTTTACGAGTTGAGATGGCTAGTGGGGAATTGCTTGATTCTGATATAGTCGAAGAAGGCGATGAAGAATGAGAGGTACGGGTTGAAGTAGAGGGAGATTTAATAATATCAAGGTCAATTGCATAGGCAGCCCGTCCACCTCCACTCAAGCAGGAGCTCATTGTTGAAATGAATCTCCTGGCTGAACTTCAATCAAACAGGCCTAATTCAATTAGAACTCAAAGATGAGAGACTGAACAAGATTGAATTAATCCTCATTAGCTTCAAGAAGCTTAGCAAATTCAAAGGTGCCAGAATCAGGGATTGGATGAAGAAGACTCAATTTCAAAACATCAGTTATCTGACAGTGGCACCGAACTAAGAAAATAAAAAATAAAAAAAAGTAGAGCTTTGGACTCAGCAAAGTTGTTAGATTTAGTAAGCTTTTGACAGGCAAATTCAAAACTTTACCAAAGGAATAGCAAAGCAAAGAGAGTGAAAACCAAGCTTCAAGCTTTGTACCAAACTAGGCAAAAGGCCAAAACCCTGAACCCTAGAAAAGCACTTACTATCAAGGTGAAAAGCAAAAGGATGTCTAGAGTACACCAAACCCAGTTTGCAAAAACAAGGAAAGTTTCTGAGTCCTAAGCTTAAACCCTGAAAAACCCCATATATGAATTGACCACAAGAAGCAATTCTAAAAATGTGTATTGCTAAATTGGTTGTGTAGGAAGACAATGTATTCTCTTTCTAATTTATACAGAAGCAAGGAAGGAAGGCACAAAGCTCAAAAATCACAAACTGAACAGTGGATGGGTTTTGCAGTGAAGAATCAGAAGTCAGCAAGATGAAAATATACCCGCTGAGAATTCAAAAGAGAAATCTAGCCCCACAATGAAAACTGAGGGGAGTTGGAATGGAGGGGAATGGGGGAGGAGAGAGAGTTGATGGGCGATTTGTGTATATGAGCAGGTCACGGGGGATGAGATAAGAGGTAGTAAAAAAAAATCCGTTAAAGAAGCTCTGAAGATTGCAAAAGCAGAAGAGTGGGACTCTCAGAAACAGAGAGGTGGGATTATGTGTTCTTATGAGTAATGAACTGATGGTTAAGAAAACAGGGCAAGAGCCAACCTTTTCTTTCATATGCCAACAATAGTTACTGGACCACTATTCTCTCTCTCTTCCTCTACTGTCTACACCAAAGTATTTACAATAATTTAACCAGCGGCATTGACTATAATGCCCTTGAATTTGAAGTACATTCTCACTTCTCAAAGGTACTATGTTACCATCACAGAATTCTTTTTTCACTGCAGAAAAAATTATCATCCAGAAGGAGATTGATTGCCAAGTGCCAACACACTAAGGGGTGTGTTCTCAGCTCTCCCAAACTTATTCTCGTAATCTTGATCATGATTTAAACTCGGGTAACCTTTATTAAATTTTATCTGAGGAAAATACGGCTTATTAATCAAGCTGCCAAAAGTATCAGACATGTTCAAAGTGTATATAATCACATTTTTGGCGATCAACCACTATAAGGAATATTGGATGCCTAACTCATTTCTTGATGATGTTTTATATTTCAGAGAAATTTGCAGAGCTTTCTGAATTAATTGGCCCCATCAACTTTCCAGAGAGCTTGCAGATTTGTAGTAACATATGTGATGCAGCCAAATTTTCTGCACACCGATTACTGAATTCTAAAAATTGTAAAAATCCCTAGATATTTTCAAAGTAAAATTAAAATTCCAAATATTTCAGTCCAAATTCTAAATAAAGATCGGTTCTTTTTTGTTGGCCTAACAATAATCCTTATTTATTACTCCATATGCTATATTCATGATATAATAATCAAACATGTGAATTAAAATATATTTCACGGAAAACAAACTCCCTAATAAAGATTGACTATGTAAAACTCTTCTTTTTTTTTTTCCTATTGTCAGAAGTTTAATAAGTCAATCCTTCCCCATGGAATAATAAAATGTCTAGGGTGCATAACCCAAATAATTCACCTTCTCTCTTATTATTATAATTATTATTATTACTGATTATTATTATTATTATTATTATTATTATTATTATTATTATTATTATTCATATAATAGCAAGAATAACACAGAGTAATAATTATAGTTAAATGAGAAGGGCATAAAAAATAAAAAATAAAAATTGAAGATTGTGGCTCTATATGAATCTATCCTAATCATGGGCAAGTATGGTGGGCTAGGTAGATTTTTGCTGAATTACTGAATTAGCTACCCAACGGATCTACTAAAGTAATCAATCCAGTCATTTATTGCCCATTTATATTGGAAGTTCTCTTATCCGATGACATGGCAAAAAACTATTGGTTGTCCGGATTTTTTACGGCTGACCTGGAGGATACTTTTATAGGTTGGTGGCACTTTCACGTGTATCTAGAAAGGAGAGAGAGAAAAAAAAATTAAATAAATAACTTTTGGGAAACTAAATTAAAAAAAATTTCCCTCAACGCGGCAGCGAAATGATTTGCAACTTTTTGGTGTGTTGTGTCCAAATTTATGTGTGGCAGATGACCCCTAAACGTTGCACTAAAAAGCTCCTTCAGATTTCGGATTAGAATTTAGAAAAAAGCCAAGGTTTCGTGATATTGGAATACTACTACTTGCACATCATTTTGCAATCGTTATCCTTTTAAGCTTACAGCGAAGCCAAGAGTCGTATTTCATGAAAATGTGAGGCTTTTGTCTATACAATTTAGCATGTAACAAAATTCCACCACTATTACAAAGATTGAATCCCGTATGATGGAGACTCAAGATTATTCTAACCCTACACTTTAACATTATCTAAGATATTAACCATTTGATAAATTGAAGTTCCAAGTTTACAAATACTCCACGTAGTGATTTAATTAGTGACTTATTAAGAGATGATATTGAGCATAGGTTGCAATGTGAATATGTGATCAATTGGAGAGCAACCAAAATAAATATGCCAAGTAAGCGAGTATATCAAAATATTTGATGTAAATTTTGGAAGATTATGATAATATTTCAAGGTGAATCCATTAGTATAGAAAGGATAATGGACACTTACTATATAATTAGTGAGCATAAAGAAGAGAACGAAGAATCGGATTAGATATACTATCTCTCTATACGTAGTATGAAGTACATCTTTTAGTATCATGGGCATATCTACATGAAAAGGGTACATCTTTTAGTATCATGGGCATATCTACATGAAAAGGGTAGACACTAGACTGACTTTTTATTTAGTTGTGTCATAAACCAAGTCGTAGATTTCACCAAAATAAATAAATAAATAAACCAAGTCGTAGAGTAGTGGTATTTATTTTTGTATTACACGCATGTTTCAATATAGATGGTATATTCATACCTAAGAAAAAATTTGCTAGACTTTCCTAATCTTTTTGTAGTACTTAAATATCCTATATACGTAACATTGTAATACGTTTATATATATATATATATATATATATATATATATATATATATATATATATATATATATATATATATATATATATATATATATATATATATATATATATATATATATATATAACACCCTGTTTGGAAATTCTAAATACACCACTGTGACTTTAATGTATAGGTAATAATGAAATAATCAAATATAAGAAGTATATAACTACTACTCATTTTTATAAAGAAGATATATTTGAATCCCTCCATATTTTGTGAATACTTTTCTAATGAAATGTACGTGATGAATTGAAATTAGCATACACGGATAAGGATCCTCTTTTATTATCAATGATAATAATCCTAACATTTCTTATTTTGCTTGTCAGCTTTAAACACTACTAGTAATAATTATCATTAAGTTGATAAGTGTCCAAATCTAAAGAGGTTGGCAAACAAGATGGGACATGGACAGTGGACACAACATATGAAACAAAAGCATATGACATGTAATTTTGAATTTTTAACCCTTTTAGGAAATATTCATACAACATTCAAACTCCAATGATTTTGAAAAATCTTGGACATCTTATAGATAGTTAACTAATATGAAAATATATCTTTAATGCCGCACAGCAATTAAAGCTCAAAAAATGCTCCATATGTTTGAACCATCAATAGTTGGGTTGTTTAGTTGGGAGGGAACGGGTAGACAGAAACATAAAGATTTTGATGAAGGGGCAGTTTAGCCAACATATTTAAAGGTAAATGAAACTAGTTGCTGAAGTCATATAAGATGTAAATACAAAGTACCTTGGACATTAATTTTAGAAGTTAAGACACCACAAGGAAAACGCAGGGGCACCATAAAGAAAAAACGCTTGAATCATGAGCTTCTATCTTACCCAGAAATATAATGAAAACCAGATAAAATATTTTTGGAAAAATAAGGAAGCACCAAAGTCGAGCTTACCTCGATAGAGAACCGTGAGTTGTTGAGGTCCTTTGCTTATGAGCTCATGCTGTTGTACCTGGTAATGGAGACAGTCTTCAACAGTGACTTCCAAGTGCTAAGTTATCCTGAATTCCTGAGTAAAGTTGCGTGTGACTGAAGTCACATGCTGAACGATAGAAATAGAAAGAAATTTTTTTGCATCGTCTATAATAGAATCAGTAATCACAGTGACACATTCACACATTTCAACTGCCGTTGTCTACAACAGTCATCATGAAAGACAAGGAAAAGAATTCCGTCCAATGAATACAGTGGTACGGTGCAAATATGCAGAACTCTTTGTTCTGCAATATGCTGAATGATGAGAGAAATTGTTGAAAGTGTTTCTATACTAGAAATGCAATAGTAACACTTCATCAGGCAAACCCTTTTCTCCAGAAAACAGGTAATAAAGATGGGTCCTTTTATTGCCAAAAACCTATGTTAGCATATCACAAAACAGACTGATATGTTCTGATGACAGTTAATTAACTTACCATAAAACTTACAAAATCATTCTAGAATTCCCATACTCAGCAACGCATGCAGGCCCCTAGGCATAACCGCATAAATTACTAATAAAATATAAATAAAAACAAGATTAATTGAAAGCAGGCTGTCCACAAGAGGGTCTGTAATTCTGTATTGTGAAAGAAAATCATCTGAAGCCCCTTTCCCACCTGCTTCTCTAAGCTACGCCCAGTTGTCAAGAATAAAGGGGACAAATGAGGCAGTGGTAAGATACCACTTCACAATTCCTTCGTCAATATTTTGAGCAGCTTGGCTGGAACTTAATTGATCATTCAGCTCAGGTAAAACACATCAATTCACTTAGAGAAAATTTGATTAAAATTAAGTATAAATTGATCACTCTTGAGCAAACAAAACTTTGACATAAGCAAATTCAATTTTTAGTTGACCGCTAGCAAAACCTCCTCAAGCCTTATCCATGATGATCCTCTCTTCCTCCATTCACTTATAGTATTTTTCTTCATGTCATTCAAAACTCCCTCTATCCAAATCATATTTGGCCTCCCTCGGCTTATTACGAAATCTCCATTATTCTAAGCTTCAACATCCTTACCAACAGTCCAGCATATACTTTGGTTGACATCTTACATGCCAAAACCACATAGCTGATTTTCCCTTATCTTATTCTTCAACTCCTTCTTTCCTTTAAATATCTAAACTCCTAATCTTATCCATCAAGGTGTTCCCACACAAACATTTCAATATACACAACTCTGCTACACTTATTTTCTTCATATGATCCTTCCTATATGCCAATAATTCTCACCTGTACAGTAACACCAGTCAAATTGTTGTCCTATAGAATATTTCTTTCAACCTTAGCAAACTACAATCATGAAATAACCCAGGCATTATTCTCCATTTTTTACCACCTAGACATAACCCTGTTGAGTTATATCCTGATCGAAATCACCATTTCTCTAAAAATCCGATTTGAGATATGTAAAACATTCACTAACATGTAACTCCTTGCCATCTAAAGTCAATAGAACTCGGTACATCTCACTCAATAGAACTCAGTACATCTCACTTCTCCTCCTCTGAATACTAAAATGATACTCTGTATTACTCCAACTTAACCTCCAGATTTGAACTTTTGTCTTTATCGTTCCAACTTAGCACTCACCCCAATGTTTGTTCTACTAACCAACATGATAGCTTTCCACTGCTTTTAGGGACGAAGAATGAATAATAGGAGACAAGAACTGGTTAAGTATAGTACGAATACAGTGTAGTACGTTCAAAATTTTGAGCATGCAGTGGGTGTGCCAGCCATCTATATTATTGCATTTGCATTCTGGTATGTTATCTAAGTGAGAAAGAATGGAGGATACTTGGAATATACAGGATCATTCTGAGGGTTTTATGTGACTGGAAAGAAACTAAGAAAGGATATTTGTGGTTAGAGAAATTTTCCATTCACCACGTTAGTGTTGTTATATGAGGATTTTCCAATATTATCATTTGATATATACAACGCTTGGGTGGCATGCAATCATCTTCATGGTGGAGGGCTAATCCTCTATCGATGTATACTCTGTTCACAAAGTTCAGTACTCGTAATATTTTGCTTATCCCCTAAAAAAAATAAACAAAAGAAAGAGGAAGAACAAAAAGACAACATGTAAGAGAAGGAAAGCTGTATATTAAATGGATGGACTGTTCTGAGGGTTTTGGACTAGCAGGGCAAGCATTTATAAGTATCAATGAGGCAGCGATATGTAAACTATTGAACATAAATTAAGCATTTACAGCCCCAAGGGTTCAGACTCTGTGTGCTTAGACGAAAATCTGATGCTAGAAAGTTAGAAGTTAGAAAAGACATGAGCTATTGTCTTCCAATCCAAAATGACACAACACACAAGTTTGCAAGCAACCTAAGAAATGCTTAATAAATCAACATAATCCATTTAATAAAGATTACTAGTGGGCAGGATATCAATAAAGTGAAGAGTAGAGCAAGGACTTCTGAAAGTAGCATAGGGGTATTGACTACATGTTCCTAAAATCACCCGATAATCAGGAACAGAAAGTTCTTGATTTCAGAAATCTGAAGATGTACCATGGACACATATGCTAACCGTAGAAAACTTATAAGAATTATGTAACCACATTGCTATAATCAGTCATATATGCATTATTGGAGGCTAGCTGACTCTTTAAAAGACAAAGTCTTCTGATATCAAGGCGCATCGTGAAACATAAAAGCAACTTCTTAATCTTATATTTCTTTATCTCATGAAATATAACAGAAAAAATTTATTATCATCACAAATATCTTCTCTTCCTCTATTCAAACAATTAGTACATGTTAGCACCTCTACCCAAGCTAATAGTATCCCAGGATCATTGATGCTAGATATAAACATAATGTTACAGAATAATAAAGCTAATTTCAGGGCAATTATACACTCTCCCTGTTACAACAATACGAAGTTAGCTTAAGTTAGCTTCAAAGCCAATAGAAATATAAATAAAATCACCTTCAGTAGACCAAACACTTCATCATTGTGCTAACAATGCGAAATATTTCCTAAAGGAAAAGGGAAAACTTAGCAAATTGATTTAACAGCCCAGCAGCTAGCAGAACTTATCTAGCATGAATTCTTGGTTTGCCTAACTAGCCGGCATATATCAGTTCATAAGCAAATGCTTTTCCGGAACTGAGTTTATTCTCCAAAGTCCAAACTTAATCAACTAGCCAGAGCACTGCACAAAGCCACAAATACAACCTCGATTGCTCCTGCTCCTTTAAACACCAAACCCTTGCATGATTCCCCAAACACAAGCCCAATTACAATCCCATATAATCTTAACTTCTTAATCCATAAGAGCTCAACTGCTCCAATGTTCCTTAAATCCTTACCTAATAATCTAGCCAGACCCAAGCACTAAAAGAGTTATTTGTAAAAAATAAAAATTGGGTTGAGTGATTAAATGGATGCTCCTGCATCAACTCTCTACTAGTACTGAATATAGGACACATGTCGTATACATAATGTTGGCTGCATTTACCATTGTAACAGAAGCCAGCATAAATGACAGATAAAAACATGGAATAGGGCATCGCTATTGAGAGTTAAAATTGTCATAAGTAGCTTTTTCCTACAGAGGTTTAGAAAACTAAAAAGTAATGTCTGAGATTCACTATATCCTTGATTCCTTTCCCTTGATCACTCCAACAATGAAATGGTCACCTTCGCATCAAATAATGAATAACCATAAGTTTGACCAATGCTTTTCATCACTAAATTTTGGTAAAAATTATGGAGTACTTAGTATATAATAATTCTAGAACGTTGTATACAATCAACAAAGCTCAACCTCAAAAAGCCACAAGGAAAAGGCATATCGAAATGAGACGATACATTAGAACAAAATGAGCACTATGTACCAAGAACTACCAACAAATTCACAGTTAAACAAGTAGAATTCTGGCAAAAACTTAGTCATCAGCATAATGAGAAGATAAATGATCGACAAACTCTCATTGCACACAACTAATTAGTAATTTCATTCAATTTTCCAGAACTCGTAAACGAAAATTTTCAAAATTTGAACTAAAATTAGCGCAATAATTCAAACCATTACCCAAGTGAAATCTCAAAATAATGCCAAATTCTGCACTCTTCTAGCTGAATTCTCGAAACAACAAGGCATGATCGATCAAAACCGCAAGTTAATTTGCCCTAGAAATCAAAATTTCGAATTAGTAAGCCCTAATTGCCGAAAAACAGCGTAAAATCAGATTAAAACTTTATAGATAAAACAGAATAGGATGAAATAGATGGGAGAGAGAAAAACAGGAAGTATGAGATACCTGAGAATCCGCCATTGAAGGTGAGAGAGAAAGCTCGGATCAAAATTGGTTGTTTACAGAAGGTGTATGGAGAACAGGAGGAGAGAGAGTGAGATTGCGGGAAATGAGAAGTCCGTTGGAAGAAAGGAGGGAAGGAGATCAGGAACAGAAATAAAAGGTAGTTGGGGTTTGCCATCTTTGCCCAATTGGATTGAGCATAAAGATCTTACAATCTCTTATGTGGCACTAGCCAATGTGAACTTGACCTCCTACTTCATACGTGTCATTTGTTGGACAAGAGGACTCGGATCATATTCCGGTGATTAGTTATTCAATTGAGTTAGGTTATATGCAACTCCAAACTTTCACACGAAGCGTAATCAAGTTTAGCTAAGGTCACATAAGATTTGAATTGTTTAATTTAAATGTTAAAGCACTCTTCGGATAAATATTGGGTTAAATTTGCTTACTCGTGTTTCTATGGGGATGCTCGGTATATTCAAAGACAACCAAGCATGCAATAGATTATTACAAATTTACTTCACCAAAGCCTTGCTCAATCAAAGTCCAATTTTGAACTAGCTTGCCATGTCTTCTATGTGGTGCTAACCATTAACATTACTTAATAATTTCAAGCATATCCAAGAAAAATTAATATTCAATGAACAAAAGTGAAGTTAAACACAATGAGACTAATAAAGACGCCTTTTACAAGGTCAAGTGACTAGCAGGCCCAACCCTTAAGGTGTGCAGGGTGAGCAACTGCACATGGCCCAAAACTTAATGGGGCCTCATATCAATTTAAGAATATAAGAATAAGCTAGCATTATTATTGAGAATTTCCGTAGGTAGCTCAATGGCAAATGTTGGAGAATATTTACAAGTGGTTCAAAGTTCAATGACTGTTGTGCGTTTCTTTTTTTTTTTTTTTTTTGGGTGACATAATTATAAATTGGATGGGGGCCCATTTATTTTTAATCGCACAGGGCCTCCGTATACTTTGGGACCACCCTAGTCAAGTCCAAGTGTATTAGGAGCTTGAGCCAATTTTTTGATTGTTATGGAAGAGTTCCCAATGAACAATTATTGATCGTGATTCGTGAGCGTATGGTGATGTTGGTGCACATTGTTCCTACTTCGTCTGCTTAGTTGCCCATGCATGCTCATGTCCTAAACCTAGCTCCATTAAACCTAGACTCAACAAGTTTGTAGCCACGCTATACAATAAAATATTGTAGTGATTGTAGTAATGGATCAAATAATTGTTTTACTAGTAGTTATGATTATTTTTCTATATATTGCCAACAATTAGGTACTTCAAATGTTAAAAATCAATGCTCAACATGATACATGCAATGGACTAAACACGACACGACACAACACACTATTATTATCATCGGGCCATGGGCCACAACTTTTAAATCACACAATATGACTTAACACGATAAATTAATAACTCTTAAACAGGGCATAGTATCATGTAAGCTTGAGTGGTCATTTTATAAATCTTAATACGACACTTAGGCGTCAAGCCATGCGCAGGACCTAGTCATCCTCATAGCTCACGAGCTCGTCACGAGGACTGGCCCCATAGCCATTTCAAAGATTTCTACTACACTTACCGTCACTTATACTAGAATAGTCGATAGTATGATGTGTGTGTTACAGTGTTAGAGACTGTTTCGGGTGAAAACAATGGGACCTTGTCGAAGGTCCGATGAAGTGGAGAAAACTAGATTCGATCCAAGTAATGTTGGGCCGAAGGTTTCCTGCACAGTAAACACACGTAAACTAGCCTCGGGGGTGTTGCCGAGGAAGGCCCCTCCGATGCTAAAGTCAGTACAGTGCGTAGAAAGAGAACACTATGCAAGAGAATTAATTGCTTGAGGCTTTGCTTGAATGAATGTACAAATGTAATATTGATGGCTTTTATACCTCTGCATACATGGAGAAGTTGGGCCTTAGCCCAATTGGCTTGCCTTGAGGACTGATCTTTGACTTTAGCACAATTGGAGAGATGAACCTTGACCTTGGGCTTCTAATTGGATCATTTAATGCCTAAGTCCAATTGGACTAAATTGGACCCAAACAACTTGCCCCCCAGACCCGATTTGGAAGGATGACGGGTCGGGTTTGATTTAATCAGAAAAGGAGGGAAGTGAATGATTTAATTAATCCAAAAATTTGAATTTAAACCGTAATTAAACCGTAATTAATGAGATAACAACAGTTAAGGCGGATAATTGTGGAAGTTGGACGGATAATGGGCAGTTTAATCGCAAGGTCGTGTGTTTAACGGTTACTTAGTGGGGTATTTAAGAGAAATTGAAACGCGGACTCCCCGTATTCCCATTTCTGGAGATATAATTAGAGGCGCGTCATCTCTCCTCACTTATTCACCAACACAAACCCAGAATTCTCGAGAGAACCCAAGAACCCGCATCAAAACTTCGCAAATTCCCCGAGCATTAAGCTTAGAAACTGATACTTGCCACTACCAATTCGTAAATCGGCAACTTTCGCTTCAGATTAAGGTAAATTCCTTTTATTTTAGTTTATTTTTCTTCGAATTTGAACTCCTTCCCTTTTTTTTTCGACTTTTTTCTTCGAAATTATCAATGGCGAGAGGAGTTGGGGGTAGAGCCCGTGCTCCAAGAAGAGCAAGGCCAATTCCGGATCCCAGGAACAGGATTGGGACCTGGAATGGACAAAGAGCAGAGTCTGACCCTGCTGAAGGGATCAGGGCGACTCCAGTTTCCTCGGCTCCCCCTCAGAGAACGGAGGGGCCGAGCGCTTCTGGGCGCGACGATGAAGTTCCCGCTGTCCTTTGGGATATCCTTCCCGGGTTTTCAGAGTGGGAGGATGCCGAAGTAGCTTCGGCCATGATAAAGAACCGCCCCTACTTATGGTGGGTGGAGAATGCCGAACAGTATCGGTTTGGCGAACAAATTGAGTTGCATTACGGCATCCTTGAAGCTGATGGGTATTGGTGCCGAATGCCCGTGGCATCCGATAGAATCCATCGTCCACCCCCGGGGTATGTGGGGGTGTACACAAGACAACTTCAGTATGGGCTGAGGTTCCCTTTGGACGTATTCGTCCGAGACTTGCTGATCCATTACAATATTTCCCTATGTCAGCTAACTCCTACTAGCATCCGAAGGGTGATGACATACTTATGGGTCTGCAAGTTCTTCAGGTATGTGCCGAACCTGCACTGCTTCAAAAAGCTTCATCAGCTAGTGCCAAATATTCAAAGTGGGCACGGAAGTCATGGTTCTGGGTGGTATCGGATTGAGTCTTGGCC